ATCCTACAAACCTGTCCTGAGCCCATTCCTGAGCCCGGGGACTGAAGGACACACAAGACCAGGGCTTCCAGACAGCCAGGGGGCTTGCGGTCAGAGCCCAGGTGTGACCCCAGGGCCCTCTCCCAAGTGGCCCTCCAGGGAGAGGAGCTCCGCAGCTTCAGGAGGGAGGCATCTGGCTGGAGGTATTTGTGCCTGCACCAGGGTACTCCTGTGGGTGTGAGCACCTCCATGTCACCACTGTGTAGAGGCAGCTGCTGCTACTCAATGCTGAGCCCAGGTGGCCACTACTGACCACCACTTGGAGAGCTCAAGGGTGCTGGTGACATGGAGTGCAGGGAGCCCAGGGATGGAGGAGGCAGGGGTAGGGGGACAGAAGGAAGGGGGAGGAGGGGGAGGCCCAGGAGGGGTTCCTGTGAGCAGCCAGCATGGGCAGCAGCCTGGGCTCTGACTTGGTCTTGCAGTGGCCTGCCTCCTCCTTGCTCACCCCCGAGGAATGCGACCCCCCCACACTTCCCTTTCCTCTACTTCCTGTCCCCAGCGGAAACCAGCTCAGATTTGGCTGAGGAGTCTAGGCGGATGCCTCCTGGTAACAGGGCCTGGGGGCAGGGGAGGAGTAGCCACCTCTGCTCAGTGCAAGGAGCACCTATAGGCCCCAGGTGTGTGGGCCCAGGAGCAGAGGCTTTGGGCAGTGCCAGGCCCACCTCTGCACATCATCCCTGGACCAGCCCAGTCGGCTCTCCCTGGGGTTCCTGACCACACCAGGGCTAGCTATTGCCCTGAGCAGCCCCTATGGGTGATAGCCCCTATGGGTGACAGCCTGGGGCTGCTCAGGGCAATAGGGTGGTGTTTCCCACATTTCACATATGGGGAGAGTGGGACTCAGAAATGGGCAGGGACCAGCCCAGACATACCCAGTATCATGGCAGAGCCAGCTCCAATCCCGCCCTTCCCCCAGACCTGCTGGGAAGCCAAAGGGCCTGAACCTGAGGGTTGGGCAGGGGCATCAAGGGGAGTCAAGGGGAGCTGTTTCTAAGAGTGGTACCCCAGTTCCACAGGCCATCCTGGGAGAGCAGCCCTGACCACACTCCTCCCTACTGAGGATGAGAAGGAAGTAGCTGCAGGCATTTGACTGCTGCCCAGCCCAGCTGCATCCTGAGCCTCTGCTCCCAACTGAAACCCAAAGACTGCAGTGTCCAGGACAGACAGAGGCAGAGCTGGGAGACAGAGGCTATGGAGAGAGGAGACTGTGCCACTCTCCTGGCAAGGACCTGGTCAGCTCCGGCCATGCCCTGCCCTTCCACCCCATCCTTAGCTGAGGCGTCTGCACGCTGGCTGGCTCGGTGGGGCTGAGGCTCTGCCCTGCCCCACTCTGGGTCCAGGTGCTGGCAGCAAGCCCGGCATGCAGGTTCAGTCCCAACGCACCTTCCCCAGCCCTGCGGGCAGGTCAGCAGTAGGCTGCCTCCTGTGCTGGGGACAGTCACCAGGCTGACAGGGAGGCTGTGGCCCCTGGTGCCAGTGTGCTGAGTGGCCAGCCGGGTGAGCAGGAGCCCCGGTCACAGGGATTGTCTGCTGCAGTTCCTGCTCCACGTCCTTCCTCCGCTCTGGCCGGTGCTGGCCAGGGCTTGGTGTTTGTTATTTGATTCCTATCCTCTCTCAGCCCTTCTACCAGGTGTCTGGGCTGCTGGGAAGAAACACTCTCCTCTTTCCCACGCTCCCCGACACATTTTAATGAATTAGCTGGAAGCCCCGCCCCCACTGCCCGCTGGCCTCCCTCCCCTGCTCAGTGCCTTTAAGGTGGCTGAAGGCCTCGGCCCAGCTCTGGCCAGCTGCCCCTTCTGCACTGTCCTCCCCCAGGCCCTCCTAAGCTGCCCCATCTGCCCTGCCCAGACTTCTCCGGCTGGGTTCCAGAATGTTCCCCATGCTGCCACTGTTCTGAGCCCCCTGGGAAGGAAAGAGGAGCCTGGAAGGAGACAGGGTCCCACCAGTGCCTTCTGGGGGTGGGTAGTGGTGGGCAGGACACCCCTGGGCTAGCATTGTCAGGATCAGGCGGGGAGGTTGGGCAGTGCCCAGCTTTACGGGTGGGAGGGTCTCTCCAGGCCTTAGGCAGGGATCACAGATGCAGGAAATCAGCACTGGGTCCTCTCTGAGTCTGGCTGGTACACAGTGGGTCCCCTCCATACCTTCTCTCTAATGGCATTTGGAACAAATGTCCACCTTTTGGACGTGTCCATCAGCAAACAATTGGGCAGCACTTACAAGGGGCTGGTGCCCCCACGGTCCTCCCACATCTCTTTCTCAAATGGGGCAGTTTCAAGGAGGAGGAGGTGGGGCCAGGCCAGAGAGTCAGCAAATCCCCCTGCAGCCACAGTGGAGGGGCCCAGCCCAGGTCTTCCCACAGGAGCCCGAGGATGGTTTGGCCACCTGAGCGACATACAGTGGCCAGGGTGAGGGCTTGTGCCCAACCACACAGGAGTGGCAGCCAGGCCACATCTGTCAGCCTTGCTCCTGACCGATGGCAGGGTGACCTCAGGGTAGGCTCCCACCAGGCAGGGCTCCTACACCAGCCACACCACCCCTGCCAGGGCCGCCAGAGCCACCAGCCATTTCACGGCCTCGAGGCGGCAGCCTCAAGTTCCCACACTGAGCTCACACAGGCCCCTTTGTCTGCCAGAGGCCGCGGATGTCAACAGGACCTTTCTCCCAGGCTCTGCTCCTGCCAGTGTCTCGGATGCCCTTCTCTAGGCTGGGCAGGAGCCCACCTGGGCAGGAGCCTATATGGGAACCCACCCACCTTCCAGGGCACCTGGGCTTGGTGAGAGCATGGGCTCCCCTTACCACAGCCATGCCCTCCATGTCCTCCAGTCAAGTGTCACCAGGCCCTGGGCAGATGGGCAAAAAAAGAACCAAAAGGCAGTCCACCCTTCTTGGGCACATTCTTGGAGCACACGTCCACACTCGGCCCTTGGACTGCTGTGCAGCCACCAGCCAGAACCAAGTTGCCAGCTACAAGGCAGCCCCCTTCCTTAGGAAACCAAGATGCTAGCTGGAGACAGCGTCCCCACCTGAACCTTGATGTTGCTACCTGCAGAGTGCAGAGAACCAGCACTGTCCCTCTCACCTCAAGAGCTCTTGGTAAAAATGCAGAGGCCCGGTGGGCACCGTCAGGGGAGCAGAGCCAGAAGGACCAGGGACCTCAGGAGAACCAGAGCTGTCCTAAGTTGTGCACTTGAGGAATTCAGGTCCCCAGGCCACCAAGAAGACCCCAAGGGAGCATGGCCCTGTCAAATCCGCCAAGGTCAGGCCTGAGAGTAGTCAGTCAGAGATGGGCACTTGCCCAATTTTTCTTCCTACTTTGGCTGTGACCATCCCCAGAAGACAGAATAAGGTGGGGACACACCTATGTGAGTGGCCAGATACTTGGGCAGACACCTAGGAGAGCCCTGCAGCTCTCCTGGAGAGGCCCAGAGCTGCCTGTTTAGAATTCCTGCTCTAATCTGGGCACAGCCTGCTGGCCTATAATCCTAGTTGCTGGAGGCAAAGGCAAGAGGATCAAAAGTTTGAGGCCAGCCTCAGAATGTTAGTGAGACCCTCAGCAACTTAGGAACACCTTAGCAAGGGCTGAGGCTTTAGCTCAGTAGTAAAGAGCCCCTGGGCTCAATCCCCAGTGCCCCCCCACCCCCACCAAAAACAAAGAATTCCTGGCCTGGCCTCAGAAGGAATTCAAGCCCCAGCGTGCCCCAGCCTCCTGCTTTGCAAGTCTGAGAATCTGAGAATGATTCCTCCTTAATTCCCAGAGACCGCAGCAGAGCTGTAAACTGTAAACCCTAATGAGGAAATGTGGCAGTGCTGCGTCCCTGGCTAGCACCTCTACGTCAGTTAGAGCTAGTCAATAAAAAGTCAGTTGGTTTTACAGTTTGGAGAGAGTAATTTCAGAATTCCTTTGCAAGGCAATCTTGAGTGCCTTACCTGAGACTGCCCATTTGGCCAGATCTCTGTGCCTCCTACATGCAGACAGGGGCTGGGCAGCAAAGAGGCCAGTACTGCGGTCCAACGACAGCCTTCCACTGAGAACCTGACCCCGCCCCCACCGCCCAGGCTTTATCTGGAGAGGAGAGTGGGACCCCTTCCCGGGATGACTAGGGGCTTGGGGCTCCTCTTGTCAATGTGATGAAGTCAAACAGACTGGGCGTGCCTCTGGGGGAAGCTGCCCTTGCGCTGGAAGGACCAGTGTAGTGGAGGGCCACAAGCTGGCGCCCTTCGTGGAGTGGCCGTCACCAGCATCCGACTGAGCAGGGAGCTCAGAATTTCCTGGGTGGCTGGAGGGGCTGGAGTGGGCGGATCGACGACGGAGGGAGGAGGAGGCACAGGGCGAGCGGATCCAGGCGGTAGCAGCGTCGGAGTGGGCGCCCCGCGGCCACCTGGCTTCCCAGCCTCGCGCCTCCAGCAACCAGCGCCCCCTGCCGCGGAACGCACCGCGCCGGGACACGCCCCCGGCATCGCCCACGCCCCGCCCTCACGTGCACAAGGCCCAATAGCCGGCCCGCCGGCGCGCGCGTCATGGGGCCATTGTTATGCAAATATAAGGACTGTAAAAGGCTCCCGGGCGCCGCGGGTGAGTGAGAGCCGCGGCGCGGAAGTACACGAGTGGGAGCTGTGTGGGAGCGCAGTTGAGCCCAGCAGGGACTGGGACCGCGTGCGTTGCAAGGACTGGGACCACGCGTGTTGCCGGGCCCGACCTCGCCCGGCCCCCGCGAGCGCAGCGACCGCCCCCGTCACCCGCCAGCCCGGGCGCGGCTGGATGCGGCGGGGGCCCCGCGGCGGCGGCCCGCGGCCCCGAGCGCCTGGAGCGCGCAGGGGCGGCGTGCGGGGCCCGGGGGCGCTGCGCCCTCCATGCGCCGAGGCGCGTCCCGAGACACGCCCCGAGACAAGCGGGGGCCTGCGCCGCAGCCGCCGCCCGAGCTGAGCCCCGGCCCGGCGCGCGGCCGGCGCCCGGCGGCAGCATGAGCCAGGCGGAGCTGTCCACCTGCTCGGCGCCACAGACGCAGCGCATCTTCCAGGAAGCGGTGCGCAAGGGCAACACGCAGGAGCTGCAGTCACTGCTGCAGAACATGACCAACTGCGAGTTCAACGTGAACTCGTTCGGTCCCGAAGGCCAGACGGCGCTGCACCAGTCGGTCATCGACGGCAACCTGGAGCTGGTGAAGCTGCTGGTCAAGTTCGGCGCCGACATACGCCTGGCCAACCGCGACGGCTGGAGCGCGCTGCACATCGCCGCCTTTGGCGGCCACCAGGACATCGTGCTTTATCTCATCACTAAGGCCAAGTATGCGGCCAGCGGCCGGTGATGCCCGCCCGGACCCTGAACCCCTCCAGCCCGCGCCCGCGTCGTCTCTGCTGTACCTTCCAGCCATCTACCTCCGTGTACACTAGGGTCGCAGGCCCGTCGGCAGCCCAGCCCTTGGCGCCCACAGCCACGACGAGGACAGAGTGCGCGTCCGCGGCCCCGGGGCCCGCCGCCCCGCCGGCCAGCGCCTCCCCTCGGCAGTGCCTCCCCTCGGCAGTGCCTGGCTGCCCGGCCCGGTCCAAGCGCCTTCCCACGGTCCCCGCCTGCCGCCTCGCGGGTGGGGGCGGGGCGCAGGCGCCAGCCCCTTTTGAAATTTGAGTCTCACAACCAGTGAGTTCGGAATCCCGAGATACCGGATCCTCGGCTCAGAAGGCTTTCTCCCGAAGCTGAAAGGCGCGCGGCGGGGGCGCGGCGGACTCGGGCGCCCATCGCCGCCCACGGGACCCGCCATCCCGCAGGGCCGCAGAGCAGTTACCGCGCAGCCTGCGCGCCCGCGCGCCACAAAGGAGATGTTCGCTGTCCCTGGTGCCCCAAACTATTTATCAAGTGTGTGTATATTTGTGGGTGAAGTTTGTGCGCCTGATTTTTGTTTGGAAAATATTATGCGTGGTCAATGTGGTCATGGGGGAAAGATGCATTTTTTTCTAGTCTTAAAACTAAAAACTTGAGTCTACCATTTCTTGGTTGCACTGAAAATACCGCCTAGCCCGACGGTTTACCCGTTGCTCTTCCCTCCCCTGCCCCAACCCCCTCTCGCTCCTGCCTCCTCTTCTCTCCCCCTCCTCCTCCCTCTCCCTGCATCCCGAGTGAGTTTCGGAAGCCCAAGGCCACCCTTCCCCTCCGTGAGAGGCCACCATCTCGCAAACCGGCTGGTTTTGCAAAGTTTCCTAGGGGGCCTGGAAGCTCGCTGGTGCTCGCGGGGCAGGGATGTGGGGGTAGGAGCCGTCGTTACCCTCACTAGTGAGTTCTATTATAGTTAACAGTCGGTTGCACACTTTTTAAAAAAAGTAAATGGATTTGCCGCGATTAAACGTCATAACATTTATGACAATATAAAATATTAACATATTTTAAGCCAAGTTTTAGGTGTATGTTTTGAATCTTGGTTATAAACCCAATTTTAAAGGGCGTTGTATCCAGCGTTGTGAAGGCAACAGTGTACCCATATTTATATTTTTATAAAATGCCTATAAGACTGTGAATCTCTCGTGCTGTTGCTGAGTGGAAGGGCCCCTGCGCCCTTCCTCGGCCTCCCCGGCTCGAGGACCCACTTGGGATCCGAGGATCTGCCGTGGGGGAGGGGCTGCGCCGAGGACGGGACGGCAGAGGCGCTAGAGCGTCGCTAGCAGTCCCGAAAGGAGCCTTCCTGGTTTCTGTGGTTCCGATTTTCTATGCAACCCCATACCCCTTGTTTTGATCCTGGGAAATAAAAGGGAGGCTGAATTATTCAAATTTAAATGAGGTTTCCCCTTCGTAGAAGTGCTGCTGACCCTGCGTGCAAAAATGGGGAGCACTTGAGGACACAGGTGGGTGGAGGCCCTTTGTGCTGGCTGGTCACGTGCGGCCTCTTCGGCTTTTTAAGGAACGTGTGAGAAGAATATGTTGATAATGTCAGTGAAACGAGCAGACATTGAAACAAGCACAGATTACTCCAAAAGGAGTTCTGTATATTTTTTCTACATGCAAATGCCTTTTTAATTATGTTAATTAATGTTAAGACTCCTAGGCTTATGTTGGAGCTGCTATGGGCCGGGGTTTGATCACTTCCAACTGGACAGAGTCTGCAGCACATCCTGAGTGTACGATATAGACTTGTAGCCCAGCATGAAAAATTTATAAATAAATTTTTCATTGATCTTTTTATATTAAAAAAAAAATGAGTTTGTTGTTTCTTGTTCTTGGCCAGTGTAAGACACCCCCTTCTGGGATGAAGTCAGCAGGGCTCACTGTTTGCCATCACCTAAAGACAGCTCCTGGAAAACGACTGTCCAGCCCCACTCAACAGCCAAATCCAAGCCGGCCACACCGGACTTGTGAGGACCCAGGGCTGCCCCCATTCCAGCCACCTTGAGGGCACTGGAGCTGCTGCCTCAGCGGCTTCCTGACCAGTTCTGTGGCAAGGCTGCCGAGATCCCAGAAAGACCTGCCTGCCACCCAGCCTGAGAGCTAAGCTCTTGGAAGGGACCAGCCCTTCTTCCCTCCTTGCCAGATGCACACAGGAGTCTTAGATTTGGGGGAACATTATGGCTGCTCACTCCTGAGGTGTGTTTGCTGTGCTTCCCAGGTAGACAGACCCGGGTCACCCTCTGGGAGCAAGTTTGGGGCCTAGGGGTCCCCAGGTGTGCAGGAGGAGAGAGACTCTCACCCCACTCCCAACATGCCCTGGGGCCCTGCAGGGAGACCCCCACCCTCCAGCAACAGCAGCTTGCAAAAAGGAGACCCTGGAGAAGGGGCAGGGTAAGTCTCACTGCCAGACTGTTCTGAGTGTTAGGAGGTGGGGCTGTCTCCAGATACTCTCAGACCCCTGCACAGGGTGGCAGCTGCCCTCCCCAGGCTGGCACCCATGCCAGTCCCTGTTAGGGTCCTGCTCCTACCCTTGGAGATCTTCAGATGCATTTTCTTTTGGTTGAGTAGGCATTTCTGGCCACCCAGCACTGGCCTGGGACAGTGGCTACACTGTCTGTGGAGGTGAGTGGACTATGTGATGCTAATGAGCTGTATGGAGAGCGAAGGGTACCCACCCGCCCAGCACCCCACCAAGCCAGGCCTTGGGAAGTTCTGCCCTGGGCCAGCTGGCAGCTGCCCAACCCGCCACAGGAGAATCGCCACAAAAAATTGGATGCTACTGGGCATCTGGAGAATGAGTCAAGCCTGGGCATTGCTCAGGCACCCAGGGATGTGCTGGGCCATGGCTTCACTCTACACCCCCTTGCCCCACCAGGGACTGATTTCACATAGGGCAGAAAGACCTTGGAAGAAGATGCCATCACTGGATAGGGCCCAGTGTCCACTATCCTGCAACACCCTTGAATTGCCCCACTCCAGAGAGGCACTAGTGCCTCGTGGGCACAGAGCCGCCACCCCAAGGGAATGTTTCCAGTTCCCTTAAGGGACACTTTTGACTGAGAAGTCTCCACGCTGCCCCCTGGGAAGACAGTCTCTCTTAGGCACAGACACCAGGCCCCTGGAGAGGGGACTCAGGGATGGAGCCTTGGTGGAACTTAACTTCCTTTCTCCTGAGGTTTGCTTGCAGCCAACCCTGGGAATTGAGGAACTGGGCAGGGGATAAGACACAGGAGACTCCTTCACAGGAGCCCTCGTGTCTTAGAAAGGGACCCTAGGCAGCACTTTCCAGAATGAGTAACTCTGTGAAGAGGGACTGCCTGAGCAATTGTGGCCCAAAGTGTGACTACTGGGAGGGGACAGGGTGCTTGAGGTGGGGACAAAGGGGGAGTCCCTGCTAACCAGGCATAAGATTTAAGCTGCTGTGTGTCTCTGACTGGTGTGTCTGGGGCAGACTGTCCTTCCAGGGCCTGGGTGCCCAGCCAATAGCGGACTGCCTCCGTTCTGGTGGGTGTTGGCAGGTATTGACCAATGGAGTCTTTGGGAAGGCCCCACCCCCCCTCCTATGCTGGTCTCTGGTGGCCAGGGTGAAAAAGAAGGCACAGCTGCCCAGCCTCCAGACCTGAAGGGTGCCTGTGCAGGCTAGTGGGGGTGCCCCAGGCACTGAGCAGACCCAGGGGAGGTAGTGCTGCAGGCTGGGCGTGGGCTGCTGGGAAACCCTCATAGGGAGAGAGGAGGCCCACTAAACTAGTGAGAGCAGGGCCTGCCCCACTAGACTCTGCAGCAGGGCCATCGGCCTGTCTGCCTGTGATCTGACCCTGACGGCACGCAGGAAACACAGTTGGAAACAGAGAAAGATGCTCAGCTAGAAAGTGGTGCCCAAGGAGAGAGGGCCGGATTTGGAAGCCAGGGAGGAAGGAGAGAGGGAAGGGGCTGCCCGGGGTCAGTCTGTTCCCAAAGGCCTGTAGCTCAGCACCAGGAGGGATAGAGGGGTGTGCATGAGAACACAGGGACAGCAGCCCTGTGACCTGGGGAGGGCCAGCTGCCTCCCGGTGCTGCCTGGAGCCTGCAAAGAGGAGGCGGCGGCGTCCACCGGTCTTGAAGGTCGGGAAAGGAGGCCCCGCGCCGGGACAGCTGGGAAACAAAGCCACAGGCCGCAGTGTGAGGGCGCAGGCCACAGAAGAGGCCGTCGGAGGTCTGGGAACCTCCGCAACTGCTCCTTCCGAGGCCTCCAGCGACACCCTCCTGGGGCTCGGGGTCCGGGGAGGCCGCCCCCCTCCCGCACACTCCGCCCCGCCCGCCCGGCCGCTGCCCCAGCCCCCCGCGTGGCGTATTCTTCTGCTCGGCCGTCCTTCCGACCGTCCCTCCGCGAGTCCGTCTGTCGGTCTTTCTTCTCCCTCCCCTTCCAAAGCCGTGGCCCCATTCATCCCCGAGGCCTCTGCCCTCTCCAGAGCGCGGTCCCGCTCGGCGAGCAGCTGCTATGCTAATGAGGCGGGCGGGGGACGGCGGCGGCGCGGGGGCGGGGCGGGGGCTCCGCCGGGTGGGGCGGGCTTTCACAAAGGCCGGTCTTTGCATTCAAAGCCCGCCGGGCCCTTCAGCCGATCGCGCCAGGCGGGGCCAGGCGCGGCGCCCCCGCCGAGCGCACGGTCCGCTAGGGGCAGCGCCCTGGCCCAGGGCAGCCCGCCGCCGGCCCAATACCCACTTGCCTCGCGCGACACGAGGGTAGAGCCCAGCTGTCGTCTGCTCGGGGTCACGGCCCGGGACTGGCGGCTCCTCTGGAGAACCCGCCTGACGCTGCAGGGCGAGGGGCTCAAGGACGCCCCGCGCGGATGGGGCAAGAGCTGGCGGGGCCGCCTGAGCACCTTGGTCCCCGCAAGACTGCGAGGCGAGCCATCTGAGCTGGAGATGGGGACCCTCCCGCCACCAGGCGCAGGAGCGCGTGGACGCAGAGGAAGGGGCGCCGGGGTCCGACCCCGAGGGATGGGGCGGGGCGCACAATCCCGGAACCCCTCAGCCTGTCCGGGACCTGCCCACCCTCTGGCGACCAAGGATCG